TTTTTTTTGAGACCAGGCTGGCTTTGAACTCACAGATCTGCCAGGGTGTCTCCCACGTGCCGAACTGCTTTTATTTTTGAGGCAGTCTCAACGTGTTACCTGGCTTAGATATAAGCTAGACAAGACTGAGCGTGCAGTAACTCACAGGATTAAAGGTGTGTGCAGGATATTGGCTTGTGTTTAACTTTTTAAAAAGTCTTGTGCGGTTTTATTTACCTTTGTTACTTTTGAAAAGCAAGCAAAACTTTCCTGAGCTTAAGAAACATCTCCCTACAGGGGAGGGGGACTCAGAAGAGTTTACCCTCAACTTCCAGTTTTGTTTTCTTGTTACTGCTTAAGCTTTTAATTTAGATGGTCCCTTTTTGTCTGCTTGGAATAAACGGTCATGCCTTGTAGCACTAAGTCGCTGTGAGGCCCAGGCAAGTCTCATACTTGGTACCTCCTGCTGGGGTGCCACGAGTGTGCCACCACAGCTACTTGTACTTAAACGTCTTTACACTTGGGCGACGGTTTCTCATCTGTAGTTGTCATATTAGAAAGGAACACGTTTCATGTGCCCCTGTTGTATTCCTGCATTATCTTAGTGGCTTTGGTAGTTGCTGTGGTACTGGGATGTGGGAGTGGGCAGTATGGAGTTGGCCGTGTTCTGCAGTAACATCAGAAAGTTATCCGCTCTATGGAAGCGACTCAATACCGATTGCACTCAACCTATGTGAGGCAGGGTGCTTCAGAGCAGGTGACATGAATTCCCAACCATGGTTCCTTCCGGCCATTTCCGTCTCAGTGACCCGTTCCTGAGTTTGCCTCTCCTCCTGGACGATCCTTGATGTCGCTTCTGCCGGCTGCGCCTGCGCACAACCACGCTTAGCGTCAGCTGCTCGCACTAAAGGGGCGGGACAATCCCCGATGTAACTGACGCCAAACGGAAGGGGCGGGGCATGCAGCCCGGGGCTAGAGGCCGACGGAAGTGCTCGTTGTTGTTGCCGGAAGTAGAGAAGGCTGTAATGGCGGCTGCGACTGAAGTTGAGGTGAGTACCACCGGCCTCGCGCAAGGTTCTGTCGGGCTGACGCCGGGCTGGGCATGAGGCGAGTCCGGTCGAGGCTACTGGGGAGGCCGGGGTGTCAGGCCCAGGCTGTGTCCGTGGGGACGTCGAGCCTGAAGCCGGTTGTGATCGCAGGTGCCCGCGGACGTCGCGGAGGACCGGCCCTCGGCCGCCGAGGAGCTGGCGGCGCAGAAACGCGAGCAGAGACTGCGCAAGTTCCGCGAGCTGCATCTGAAGCGGGTGAGTGGCGGGGACACGGGCTGGAGGAGGAAGGCGCAGTAGCTCTCCAGGCCCCAGGGCGGGGCGTCCCGGGACCGGAAGATCTCGGTGGAGGACGTGGATTCGCGTGGAGGTCGCTTTTACACACGTCAAAGCCACACCCGCTCGCTCCTCCCAGGGCCCACCCACACGATTTAGTTTATCTAGGGTAGGTTTGCTCTTTTCCTAACAACCCCCTTGCTTGCCATGATCCAATCAAATAATTCATTTTTCATCTAGGGAAATATTTAGCTAGAAATACGAAGAAACTTCTTAGTAAGAGTTTCCTCACCTTAAAAGCAACGAACATGCCGGGCGGTGGTGGCGCACGCCTTTAATCTTAGCACTCGGGGGCAGAGGCAGGTGGATCTCCGTGAGTTTGAGATCAGCCTGGTCTACAGAGCGAGTTCCAGGACAGCTAGGACTGTCGCACGGAGAAATCCTGCCTCGAAAACCAAAAACGAAAACAAAAATATCCGCACACACTTGTCCTCTTTTCCAAGTTCAAACTCAAAAAAGTGTAATTTGCTCATCTGGTGCCAGCACTTGCTGCTAAGCCCGAGGACCTAAGTTTGATCCCCAGAACCCGCATGGTGGAAAAAGAGAACTGATACCTGAGAGTTGACCTCTGACCTCTGCACAAACACACAAAGTGAATTCATAAGAAAGGTTTTTTTTTTTTTTTTTTTTTTCTTTCAAGACAGGGTTTCTCTGTGGTTTTGGAGCCTGTCCTGGAACTAGCTCTTGTAGACCAGGCTGGTCTCGAACTCACAAAGATCCGCCTGCCTCTGCCTCCCAAGTGCTGGAATTAAAGGCGTGCGCCACCACCGCCCGGCCATAATAAAGGTTTTAAATAAAGTATAACGTCTTTGCTTGCCACTGTCCTGTGATGTGGTGCAGTGGGGGCCCTTTGGCAACCTTTGTTCTGATAATAAAGGATGCACCCGACTGAACAGGCAAAGCTTACAGTAGCCCTTAGGACTGCAGATCACCAAAGCTTTGCAGCCCAGCATCTCATCCTGTGGTATGCCTTGATGAGTCTATTCCTGTGCTTAAAGTCATTGGGAGCTCTTATTGCTTGCAGCCTTAGCTGGGATCACTTAGTTGCTCCAGAGAAGCCAGGGTCTATTTGGGCCCCTCTCATGTTTTATCTGTTGCCTCCTTTTTTGTCTTACGATTTTAGAATGAAGCTCGCAAGTTAAATCACCAGGAAGTTGTGGAAGAAGACAAAAGACTTAAGTTGCCTGCAAACTGGGAAGCGAAGAAAGCGCGTTTGGAGTGGGAGCTGCAGGAGGAAGAAAAGAAAAAGGTTAGGAAGCCCTGGTTGCTCCCTTCCATTGAGACGGGAAATCCCGGTAGCTGGGTAGGTGGGGGAGTTGTTTACCTCAGGGAGCCTTATTCCGGGTTTCTCTGTGTAGTGCTGGTTGTTCTGGAACTCGCCCTGTAGACCAGGCTGGCCTTGAACTCACAGAGATCTGCCTGCCTCTCTTTCCCTAATTCTGGGATTAAAGACATGGGCCACTGCTGCCTGGCTGAGCCTTACTTTTCTTGTCTGTAGGACAGGGTCTATAACAATGGTTACTTGAATCAATTGTTAATTCTGTGATATAACATGTGCAAATCATTTAAAACAGGTCTGACACCTGCTCCATTCTGTTGCTGTTGATTTTAGTTTTGTTGGCTTTTTATTTGTATGTGTGTGGGCACAGGAGGGAGAGGACAAATTATAGAAGTCAGCTCTCTCCTTCCACTGTGTGAGGCCTGGTCTAGAACTCAGGTGGTCATGATTGACAGCAATTACCTTTACCCACTATGCCGCTATGAAGGCCTGATGCTTGATTCTTCATTAGAAGTTTATCTAAAATAGGCCGAATAGTTGGGCATGATGGATCATGCCTATAGTTCCAGCACTTGGGAAACTGAGGCAGGAATTTGAGGTCAGCCTGGGTTCCGAAACTGAAACATAGCGGGAAGGTGCCTGTCCTTTCAGGAGTGTGCAGCGAGGGGGGAGGACTATGAGAAGGTGAAGCTGCTGGAGATCAGCGCAGAGGATGCGGAGAGATGGGAGAGGAGGAAGAAGAGGAAGAACCCTGACTTGGGCTTTTCAGGTACAGCTGGCCTGTGCTGGCCTCTGCTCTACTCATTGGGCCTCCTGGACCAAGGCTTCTGCTCTAGTGAGAGCACACACCCATTGCGCTTCATTCATGGAATATTCTAGGCGGCCAGTGAGAGCGCAAGTGTGTCACAGTAGAACCCAGGCCCACCTGTCTGTCCGCTGGCTGCTTTGGTCCCTGGTGTAAAGTTAGCCTTTGTCGTCACCATTTCCTTCCTTAGTCTCACTGTGTAGCCCAGGCAGTCACAGACTCAGGAGCCTCCTGCCTCAACCTCCTGAGTGGTGCCTTTACAGGAGTGCGCTATCACCCCTGACAGAATTAGCCAGTTTTCCTGTCAGCCCGTTCAGGGTCGAGGCTGTGCTTAGGCCAATGTCCTGTGCACGTAGGACAACAGTTTTGAGTTTTCTCTTGTAAGTAATGCCAGGTGGTGAGGACACAGATCACCTCTGGTTCTCATTTTGTTCAGATTATGCTGCCGCCCAGTTACGCCAGTATCACCGGCTGACGAAGCAGATCAAACCTGACATGGAAAGCTACGAGCGGCAGAGAGAAAAGCAGTGAGTCCTTGGGGGAAGGCAGTGCCGCGCTGGGGCGGTGGGTGCGAATAGACTTCCAGACACTGCAAATACAAACTAGTTAAACTACTCGAGCCATTTCTACTGTGTGGCTCGGGCGGCTGTTCTTGAACTCACAGCAGTCCTCCTGCCTCAGTCTCCTGAGTGCTGGGGTTACAGGTTTACCAATTTGCCTGACCAAACTCAGTCTAATGGTGACTTGTGGATTACCACTGGCTGTCTTGGTGACACTGGTTACTGTTGTCCTTGTTGCATAGTGGGTAAGCCCTGACTGCTCTTGGAAACTTGCTGGTGGCCAGCACCAGCTCTTTAGAGCTAGGTGCTCTTGTAGGAGCTGGATGTTTGGTGCTGGGGTGGGTCAGCATTGGTAAGGACCAGATGGTAAATATTTGTACTTAAGGGGCTAGTGTTCTTCATTCACGGCTGCCCTAGCTGAGAGAGGTTGCATGAGCTGTGGCAGGTGGGGCAGGCTCTATTTGTTTTCAAGATAGAGTTTCTCTGTGTATCCCTGGCTGTCCTGGAATTCAGAGATATGCCTGTCTTGGCCTCCCAACCACTGGATTAAAGGCATGTGCCACCAAGCCAGACAGCCAGGGTCCTTTTTTTTTTTTTTTTTTTTTTTTGGTGGAGGAGGCAGGATTTCTCTGTAACAGCTGTCCTGGAACTAGCTCTGTAAACCAGGCTGGTCTTGAACTCATAGAGATCCACCTGCCTCTGCCTCCCGAGTGCTGAGATTAAAGGTGTGCACTGCCATGCCTGGCTGGGCCCCTGTTTTGACGCATGTGGAAATAACTTTAAGCACTCTGCTCCCAGCCCTCTGTGATCTTTGGCAAGTCCTCTATACGCTGGCCACTGTTTATGCATCTGAAGAATGCTGTGTTGTATGAGTTGAACTGGCCTGGAACCCAGAGTCCCTCCCGGGACTGGCGTTATAGGCATGCTCATCCAGCCTGGCTCATCTTTTTTTTTTTTTTTTTTTTTTAAAGATTTATTTATTTATTATGTATACAACATTCTGCCTCCATGTATGCCCACACACCAGAGGAGGGCGCCAGATCTCATTACAGATGGTTGTGAGCCACCATGTGGTTTCTGGGAATTGAACTCAGGACCTCTGGAAGAGCAGACGGTGCTCTAAACCACTGAGCCATCTCTCCAGCCCTGGCTCATCTTTTTTGAGCCTGCATTTTCTTTCTTCCTTTACCTTTGCTGTGTCAATAAGTATATTTGTGCATTGTCTCTCATCACCAATACCTGTATATATATTGAAAGTGGAGACTGGGGCACTCATGTCTGACTGGAAATCCTTCTTGCTGTCTTCTCAGTGGAGAAGATTTTTTCCCAACATCCAACAGTCTTCTCCATGGGACGCATGTGCCTTCCTCAGAGGAAATCGACAGAATGGTTTTAGATCTGGAAAAGCAGTAAGTACTCAGTAGGGCAGCCTGGCCTGGAACGCTCTATACTTCACGAGAGAGTGGGTGGGGTGTGCATCTGAGGCTGATGTGCTCGGATGACTTGACGGTCACAGTGCTGGTACCAGCTCATTTCTGACCCCGAATCTGTTGGTTTTGAAGCTGGACATCGAGTAGAGGTTGAGCCCATGGGATTTGGAGATGGGAATACTGATGTAGTCAAACTGTCATGCTGTCCATTAGCTTTCTGTTGCTGTGGCAAGACGTCTAAGCTAACTTATTTTGGCTCCTGATTTTAGAGCTCTTAGTCCATTGTCTTGGCCTGTGGCAGCACAGTGGATCATGAGAAGTCCATGCTAGGAAGCCTAGTCAGCTCCTGAGGACCAGGAAGCAGGCAGATTGGAGGGGAGAAGGGCAGTCCTGATGTCCTTTCAAGGGCACAGCCCTCGGACTACCTTCCTCTTATAAGCTCCACTGAGAGGTTCCAGTACCTTCTAGTATCCCTATCAGCTGGACCAGGCCTTCGGTACCAAGGCCTGGGGTAGGTTTCCAATCCAAACTAATAGTCAGCATTTTGTGCCTATTTGTTTAAGACTGGCCTCATGTTTGCAGGCCAGCCTGGAACTCAAGTAGTGTTTAGATTACTCTGTGTGTATGTCTGTCTGTCTCTATATGGCCATATTATTTATTATGATTTTCTTTTGAGGTAGAATTTTACTATGTAGAGCGGGCTGGCCTCAGACTCCTAGAGATCCTTCCTCCTGAGTGCCTGACCGTTCTTATTTCTGAAAGAGGGGACTCCATTTATGTTTGAGGACCATGCAGGTGTTACAGGGTGCAGTGGTGTATAGCACACACACCTACAGTGCTCATCATCACTGATGGAATTTTTAGGGTGTTTTACCCAAAGTCACACTTCATTGTCCCTACTTTTAGCATCTTTAGAAGCATTCTTTTTGTTGTGGATTTTTGAGACAGCCTCTCATCATGTAGCCTCAGCTGGTCTCCAGCAGGTGGCCAAAGATGCTCAGAAGTGCTGTGACCAGAGGCTGTAGTTGCTGGGTCTCATTGTTTACACTGAGGTTCTACTAATTAGCTCAACCATCTGAAGCTGATTAAACTGTGCCTGCCCCCCCCCAAGGTGGTTTTTTTTTTTTATTTGTTTGTCTTTTTTTTTTTTTCCCCCGAGACAGAGTTTCTCTGTCCTAGAACTAGCTCTGTAGACCAAGCTGGCCTTTTTT